CCGTCGAGGTCGTCGCGGGCGACATCGACCACGGCGACGAGCCCGACAAGGCCGACGACGCGCCGCTCGACGACATCACGATCCTCGTCGAGTCGAGGCTCGCGACGATGCGCATCGAGCTGTTCAGCATCTACCTGTGCCTCATGGCCATCTCGTCGCTCCGGTCGCTCCGCCCTGCGTCCGCCGTCGATGCGCCCGAGCGCGAGGGCACGTCGTCCTCCTCCGCCGCCGCCGCCGCCGCCGCCGCCGCCGCCAAAGGCCACAAGCCTCGTCGTCCTCGACCGCTACTGCGCGCGAGCGGCGAGATCAAGGACCTGCACCTGTTCCCGACGTTGCCGCACGACACGCACCTGTTCATCAACTTCCACCGCATCCTGTTCTCGCACACGGCGGCGTCGGGCCTGACCCTCGGGTTTGAGAAGGCCATCCTCGCCGGCCAGAGCCCGACCGTCCCGGGCAAATGGGAGGACATCGTGTCGCTGCGCAAGAGCGAGTTTCGCGTGCGGCCCGACTCGAGCAACAAGGGCTACCACCCGTTCGTCCTGTCGTTGTCGTCCGAGACGGCGCGCTTGCGGATCCCGTTCCGCTACGTCTTCTCGCGCATCGTCGACAACACGGCGAGCCTCGTCAAGGCGACCAAGCAGCTCGTGTACGAGCACGTCAAGGGCGGCACGCGCGTCGTCATCGAGCCCGGTCCTGAGCAGGCCAAGCGCCTCCCGCAGATCGAGCTGCGTGTCGGCCTCTTCGCCCTCGAGCTGCAGGACGACCCGTTCGAGACCAAGCTCAACATCATCTGGCGCGCCGGGTACGAGGAGCAGCTCGCCCGTATCGAGCGCCGCAAGGCGTTCGACGACAAGGTCGACGCGATCCGGCGCGCCGAGGCGGCGGGCAACAGCGGCGACGGCTCGCGTGCGACCGACGACGAGGGCGACGGCGACAGCGAGGACGACCAGTCGTTCGCCGCGAGCGCCAAGCCCAAGGTGAGCGCGCGCCACACGGTCGGCGTCGCCGAGGCCGAGCGGGCCCTGCGCAAGTACAACTCGTCGCACTGGGTCAAGCGCATCCGGAACGCGTCGGCCGAGCAGGCGCGCCGCGAGGAGGCGCTCGCGCGTCGGCTGTACGGCGTCACCGACCGCAACGTGATGGCCAACAAGCGCCTCCCGATCGAGCTCCTGCCCGTCAGCAAGTCGGCGCCTCTCGCTCGCGGCACGTTCCACGACCTGTCGTTCGTCATCTCCAAGCCGTCGTTCGCCGGTCCCGAGGGCGACGAGGGCCTCAAGACGTTCCTGCACGACGTCGGCAAGGGCCTGCCGCGCGACACCGTCTTCTCGCTCCTCGTCCCGGTCCACTTTTCGTGGACCATGTCCGAGGCGCGGTTCCAGCTCCGCGACTATCCGCTCCCCGTCCTGCACGTCCCGCGCAGCGGCCGGCCCGGGCAGCCGAGCTGGACGTGCGAGTCGGACCTCGTCGTCGGCGAGGAGGTCGGCGGGCTCGAGTCGGTGCGCCGGGTCCCGTGCGCCATCATCCCGCAGCACGTGTTCGAGGGCCAGGGCGCGCCGTACGCCATCGTCGTCCCGCGCTCGGCCATGCCGACCAAGACGTACGCGTCGCCCGTCATCAAGATCCGCTCGGCCGAACCTTTGCGGTTCGGCTGGGGCAACTCGATGCAGCCCGCCATCCAGGACGTCGCCCGAGTGTTCGACACGCTCAGCAAGGCGAGCCCGGACCCGTCGGACCGCATCGGCTTCTGGGACAAGATCCGCCTCCAGCTCCATTGGCGCATCCGCCTCGTCTGCCCCGGCCCAGTCGCGTCGGTCATCTTCCACCTCAAGGGCTCGCGCGACCCGTACGCGCTCACGGGCTTCGGCGCCGGGTTCGCCAAGGCGTGGAAGGGCAACGTCGAGCTCCGCCTCGGGCACGACAACCCGGACCGCGAGTTCTTCCAGGTCTCGAGCGACAAGTACGTGCTCGGGATCCCCAACCTGCGCGAGTACATCGACTCGGCCGCGACGGGCAGCTTCTCGAGCGACTCGCTCGACTCGGACGTCGCCGACAGCGACGCCGACGACGCGCAGAGCGCCGACAGCGCCGCCGGCGGGTCGGCCTACGCCGCCTCGACGCTCGGCGACGGCGACGACGATCTCGACGCCGCCACCGGGTACGACACGGCGACCGACACGTCGGGCGACGAGGACGACATCGAGTACTGGCTCAAGGTGTGCGCCAAGTGCATCAACGGCGTGCGGTGGGGCATGGCCGTCCGCCTCGAGCACACCTGTCGAGACGGCGAGTGCGACAAGCCGGCGTGCCTCGGCCTCCCGACCTTCCACCGCCAGTGTCGCCGCTTCGACTTTATCCCGCACTGGAAGGTCCACACCAAGACGTCGGCCGCGGTCGGGCCCCTCGGCGAGGTGCGTCCCCTCTTTCTTTCCCTCTCCCTCTCTGTGTCTTTTCTCCCTCGGCGACAGCTCTCTGACACCGTCGTGCGCGTGCAGATTGTCGACTCGTTCGCCGGGTTCCGCTCCGACTTTATCCACTTCTCGATCTCGCTCACGTCGCCCGCCAACCTGCGCCTTCCCGGTCGCGACCAAGAACCCGACGCCGCCGACGTCCAGTACTCGGGCAACGACGGCTACAACAGCTTCCACTTCTCGCCGCACGCCATGACGCACTTTCACCGGTGGTGGAAGCTGTTCGACGGCTGCATGTCGCTCCCCGTGCGCCAAGGTCGCCTCTTCCCGTCGGTCCAGGCGCCGTCGCCCAAGTTTGGCCGCCACACGGCGACGATCAAGTACCGGTTCTCGCTCGCGCCTCTCTTCATCTCGCACACGTACCGCCAAGAGACCTGGGCCGAGTGGGAGCGCGGCGAGACGACCGTCCTCGGCATGAAGGGCAAGATCGGCCGGTTCAACGTCGACCTGCACCAGCGCACCCAGGAGATGGTCATCCGCCGCCCCGAGATGTCCGAGTCCAAGACGGTCAAGCACAAGGCGTTCTACATGGCCGAGATCGACCTCGACGGGCTCGACCTGCGCACGATCACGGCCATCTTCTCCGAGCCGCTCAAGGCCGACGTCGCGCCCGCCGACGCCAACGCCGACGACGAGGCGTCGACCCCGATCCCGGCGGCCAACGACGACGACTACACGGTGCGCCCCGAGGACCGCGAGTGGGTCAACCTCAACGACTTTCACGACTCGATGTACACGATGCCGGTCGACGACGGCCACGGCGAGCCTCGGCTCCGCATCTTGCCGTTCATGGTCTGCCCGCGCTTCACGTACTACCGGCACAAGGACTCGGCGCCGACCAAGGACGGCGACGACGACGAGTCGGGCGACGGCCTCGAGGCGTCGACGCCGCCCGAGAAGCCCAAGACCAAGTTCGGCAACGAGTTCTCGCACACGTGCCTCATGGGTCGCGCAACAGGTGCGTCTCCCTCTCTCCCTCTCTCCCTCTCCTCAAGGACGTCGTGACGCAGACAGTGAACGCGACTGACGTTCTCTCCCTCGGCAGACACCGTCTCGGTCCACATCGAGGAGGCCGAGGAGCGCCTGCGAGAGCTCAAGACTCAGGTGCGTCGAGCTTGTCCTCCTCTGCGCACCATCGCCTGCGCGTACTGACATGGTGCTTGAGCCGTCCTCTCTGCAGCTCGCGGCGTCCAAGAGCGCGACCGTCATCGGCGAGATCGAGCTCCGCATCAAGGCGGTCCAGTCGGTCATCGAGCGCCTGAGCCAGATTCGCGACGAGGCGCAGCCCTCCTCGGCCCCCTATCACGACGCGCACGTCGAGGCCAACCACCGCGAGCAGCAGGACGGGCAGCAGGACCCGCACCCGCACCAGTACCAGTACCAGCACCGCCCGCCGCCGACGCCGTCGAGCGGCGTGCACGAGGACTCGTGCGACACGGCCGCCTTCCCGCACCTGACCAACACGCTCTACGAGGAGTGGGGCCAGTGGGAGAACCGCTACATGGTCCACTCGCCGACGGTCCAGGTGTCGAACGCGACGCGCGAGGTCCTCCTCAAGTACTACTACTCGCACCGCGACCGCAAGGGCTTCCTGTACCACGCGTCGGCCAACGTCCTGCGGTTCATCCGCGACCTCGCCAAGCAGCATGAGCGCAAGACGAAGCGCGACAACATGTCGCGCCGCAAGTCGACGCGCACGGGCACGCCCGGCGGGTCCATGTCGGCCAAGCGCACCGGGCCCTTTCACGACTCGGACGAGACCAACCGCCTCCTCGACGACCTCATCAAGAAGGGCAGCTCGTGGGCCGTCAACGAGGAGGACGAGGCCGACGACGGGCGCCACCGGTTCGGCGACCACCTCGACGTCGACCCGTACGCCGCCGCCGAGGCGCTCCCCGAGGCGTACGACGCCACCTCGGGCCACCTGTGCGTGTTCACCAAGCCCCAAGTGTCGCTCCAGAGCGACGTCGACGACAAGTCGACCCTCGTCATCGCCGCCTTTCGCGCCCAGGTCAAGGTGTTTGAGATCATCGACACGCGCATCGTCGACGACCCGGTCAACGCCGAGGTGCTCAACCAGACGTTCGCCCGCCTCGACGGCCTGCAGGTGTTCTACCCTCGGCAGCACGTCGCGCGAGCCGAGCGCCGCTTCGCCCAGTCGTTCGTCCCGCTCGAGACGCTCGTCGACCTGCGCGTCGAGCCGTGGGGGTTCGACCGCGTCGTGTCGCGCACGTCGGCCGCCATGCGCTACGACAAGTTCAACCAGCTGCGCCTCAGCTCGAAGCGCGAGCACGGCAGCCTCGCGTCGAGCTCGCCTCGCGAGAGCCACTTTCACACGTCGACCGACCGCCTGTCGTTCGAGGCCGACAAGTTCTCGCTGTCGGCCAACCCGGAGCACTTTGCGGCCATCTACAACGTCGTCACCGACCTGATCCTGTACAGCGACCCGCTGCGCAAGTCGCGCAACTCAAAGGTCGAGTCGCTCGTCTTCACGCGCGACTTCTCCAACCTCGACGCCGTCATGGACACGGTCGGGCAGCTGCAGCAGCACATCCGCCGCCTCATCGGCGCCGCGCACGAGTTCCAGGTCCACCTCGACGAGCTCGACGACGCCGGCCGCGTCCAGCTCTTCCTCGAGCGGGCCGAGGCGTTCCGGCTCGCGAGCGAGCTCAGCCTCGTCGTCGAGGCCTTCACGCGCGCCCAGGACTCGAACGGCGCCAAGTCGTCGTCGAGCAAGAGCGTCGGCCTCCAGCTCGAGGCGCGCGCCGCCGAGCTCACGTGGCACATGCTTGACCAGGCCGACATCCCGTTCGCCAAGTTCTCGGTCATCGGCGCCGAGTACTCGTGGGTCTCGAAGCAGGACGGCTCGGCGTCGAACCGCATGGTCATCAAGGACCTGAGGGCGCTCAACAGCAGCCCCGAGCAGATCTTTGCCGAGATCATCGCCAAGGCCGACACGGGCGACGCGTCCAACAACCGCCTCGCCCAGATGGACGTCTTCTGCGCCGTCCTGTGGAACTCGCTCGCACCTGTCGGCGGCATCTCGATCATCGAGCGCTTCGAGCTCCACCTGCACCCGGTCCGCCTCCAACTCGAGCACGCCGTCGGTCGCCGCATCCTCGACTACGTCTTCTCGACCGACCGATACAACAAGGCCGACGACGTCGACGGCGACGCTCACGGCGACGGTCGTCGGCGGGACAAGGCGTCGCCCGACGTCAGCAGGTCCTCGTCGTCGCTCAACGTCCCGGGCCTGAACGCGCAGGCCAAACGCTCGGTCGACTCGTTCACGGCGCCGCGCAAAAGCTACGCGAGTAGCACGAGCCTCGGCGCCACGAGCAGCACCGGCAGCGACCGCGCCCTCGCGTCGTCGAGCGCGTCGATCCGCAGCGCCGAGCACCGCCTGCGCAAAGCCGTCTCGGCCGACATGCTCGTGTCGGACGCTCGCGAGGAGGGTCTCGACGCCGACGAGATGCGCCGGCGCGCCGCCTCGAACCACACGTTCATCTTTGTCGAGATCTCGTCGACCCTGCTCTGCCTCACGTATCGGGTCCGTCCCTCTCCCTCTGCCTCTTTCCCTCTCCCTCTGACTGACCCTTCATTCTGTGACCTACAGAGCGAGAAGGAGGACAAGTCGAGCCTGCCCAACATCTACAACATCACCTACAAGACGCCCTTGATCCAGTACCGGTCCAAGACGTGGTCGTTCCTCGACCTCCTCGACCAGCTCAAGCGCGGTGCGTCTCTCCTCTTCTCTCTCTCCTCGACTCGCGCTCAATGCGCCTCGTCAAGCAACCACTGACTCAGAGCCTATGCCGCCCGCAGACATGATCCGCTCGGTGTGGCAGCAAAAAGGCCAGCTCCTCGGCCAGCTCCTATCCAAGACGCACCGCCGCCTGCCCATGGCCGACGCTCGGTCCGCCGCCAAGCAGGCCGTCACGGCGTCGGTGCGCAAGCGCATGAAGTTTGTCAAGTCACGCACCCAGCACTTTGGGAGCGTCGATGCGGCGAACGCCAACCCGGCCGGGCCGCCTCCTCTCCCCGAGGCGGTCAGGCCCGTGGAGGCGCCCGCCCAGGACCGCGACGACGAGCTCGAGCGCCCGCCTCGTCCTGCTGCGACCCCGTACAACGCCATCCCTCGCTCGACCTCGTTCGACCCGTTCGACGGCGAGCTGCACGACCTCCCGATGAACGGCGAGTTCGCGCGCACGCCAGGAGGCGAGCACCTCCCTTTCGACCTCGGCGTCGTCGGGCTCATCTACCCAGAGCGGGAGGACCGCGAGGGGTCGTACCCGCGAGGCGCCTCGCGCGGGTCGAAGGAGACGACGTCGAGCGAGGCGGCAGAGTCGACCGGGAGCCGGTCTCTCGGGCTCGCTCGAGGCGCTCTCACGGAGGAGCCGGAGGACATGGGCGCTGCCAACGAGGCGCAGCGTCTTGCGCCGAGTGCGCGAGACGGCCGACTGCCGGGCTCGGTGGACCAGGTGCGTCCTCCCTTCCTCGCCTCCTGTGCGCCTCGCGCTCGACCTGACCCTTCCAGCGACTCGTGCAGCCCTCCTCGCCTCATGGTCGACCGTCCTACGACTCGCGTTCGAGCACGACCCGTCCGTCGTCGACCTCGACCCCCTCGACCTCGTCCTACTCGGAGCGAGAGCTGTCGTTCGTCGCCGACATCGACTCGACGTTCGCCTCGATGGGCTCGCTATCCATCACTCTTCCGGGCAAGGACTCGAACGCGTTCGGCCGGCACCGGCCGGTGCGGCGGGCAGGGTCGGGTTTGGGCGAGGCGGAGAAGAGGAGGATGCTGCTTGGCAAATCGCTAGATTGAGTCGAACCCTGTTGCACAAGTAGACCGTGATCCTCGGCAGATGTCGTTGTTGTAACAATCGTGCCGTTTCTCGTCCTCGCTGCGGCTCGAGAGAGAGAAACCCTTTGGCGGCTCAGGAGAGCGACCTTCTCAAGCGCACGGTCCTCGGCGACCTTCTACCGTCTCTCTCTCGCTCTCTCTTTTGTTGGCCTCTCTGAGAACTTGGGCCCGCTCTACTCGCTTGCTGGCATTGACGAAAGGCTGCGGAGCCGAGCCGTACGAGCTCGAGCGGCGACCGGGGCGGCCGGGAGCTTGAAGCTGCAGGACGAGCCATCGCCTGTCTCCTGCAGGTCCAGCATGGCGACTCAAGAAGCTGTGAGGTTGGTCATCTACGCCAGACAGGAGTGCGGGAGACGCCGCCACGCCATCGCCAGCTCGTCTCGCGCGCTCTCGACTTGAGAAGGCCGCTCACCTTTCTCTTTCTCTCTCGACGTCGGGCTCGAGGCAGGTGGATCAGGCTCTGGCATTCGCAATCAGGACATAATAGAGAGAGCACGCCGTGTCGCAAGAAAAGGTCGAGACGAGGAAAGGCCGGCGAACCCGAGGCGAGCCTCGAGGGTCTGCACGGCGAGGATGGTCGAACGGCGTCGTGCTGAGGAGCTGCAGGGGCACGAGGAGGAGAGAGAGAGAGTCAGGCCACGTGGCCGAGAGTGGCTCGAGGGCGAGAGGAGGGAAGATTCGACGCACCAGGACGGTCGCGGCACCCTGACGAAGAAGAAGGAGGACCGTGCGGCGGCCCGCACGGCACAACGAGGACGACGACGAAAGGCAAGCAGGCCCTTGGTCAAGGATCTTGCCGCGAGACCGAGAAGGTGGTCGAGGTGGAGCTGGCGAACCCGAGACGGTGCTCGAGGGTCTGCACAGCAAAGGCGGTCGAACGGCGTCGTGCGCGAGGGCTGCGAGGACGAAACAGAGAGGGTCAGTCGGGGCCGGCGAGACCGAGGGAGTGAAGGAGAGCGAGCGCACCAGGACGGTCGCGGCGCCTCGTCGAAAGAAAGGAGCCGGCACTGCACGACGGGTACGGCGAGACAAAGGTCGACGGGTTGTCGGTGGTTCTTGCGGCGGTGGTGCTGGTCGTCGAGTCGATCGGGATGATGTTGTGGATGAGCTTGGTGAGGTCGAGCTGCGAGTGCCACGACGAGAGAGAGGGTCAGTCTGGGTCTCGAGCGAGAAGGAGAGAGGGACAGGGGAGGGCGCACCTTGCTGAATTGGTCGATCGGGCACTGCTTGAACAACTACGTCCTGTAGTCCGGGAAGAAGCAATGTCAGGGTCGAGTCGAGAAGAGAAAGAGAGAGAGAGAGGCGAGAAGGGACGCACCTCGCGCGCTTGTTGGCGGGCGCCGCCGGCTCGTCGTCGTCCGAGAGCACGATCGGCTCCTCGTACGTCTTGCGCTTGTGGCGACGCTCGGGCAACTGCGGGCGCGCGACGACCGGCTTGACGTCCTCGTCGTCCGACAGGACGAGCACGTCGACGTCGTCCTCGTTCGAGTCGTCCGAGTCGTCCGAGTCGTCCGAGTCCGAGAGGTCGGCCCACGCCTCGTTGCCGAGGTGCTCGGCGCGTGCAGCGATGCGGAGCGAGCGGCGGATCTCGGCCGGCGTCATGAACTTGTCGGCGAGGTCGTCGGGGACGTACTCGTCGTCCGGGAAGAGCTCCTCGGTCGAGCGGCGCATCGACGGGCTGGCCGACCTGCGACAGGAGAGAGGGAGAAGGTCAGTTCACGTTCTGCGTGTGTGCGAGAGGCCGACAGAGAGGAGGGAGGCGACGCACGGCGACGTCTTCTTCTTGGGCTTGGCCGGCTCGACCTTGAGCGGGGCAGCGTCGAGCTCGCCCGAGTCCTTGGCGCTGCAGGACAGTCGGTCGTCAGGGAGCAGTCACGATGAAAGAAAGGCGGGGAAGAGAGAGAGAAAGAGACGCACAGCAGGAGGTAGCAGTCCTCGAGGCCCTTGAGGTGGTCGACGAGGGCCGAGGTGACGGCGGCCTGGCGCTCCTTCTTCTTCGCCTTGAGGATCTCGTCGATCGCGCAGCTGCAGGAGAGGCAGACGAGGGGTCAGTCTGGTGGCGAACTTGGGCGGGCAGGAGGAGGAGAGGCCGACGCACAGCTCGTGGAAGCGGGCCAGGGCGACGGCGAGCTTCGTCTTCTCCTCGTCGTCCGAGGTGATCTCGCGGTTGTAGCCCTTGGCGATGCGGCAGATGTACTGCTCCTTGGTCAGCCTGCGCGAGTCGGGAAGAGTGTCAGGAGTCGGGACTCGCTGATCGGCGTCGAGCCGAGCGGAGGCGGGGTGCAGTCGGGTCGGGAGGAGGAGGAGGAGGGGGAAGAAAGGGAAAAGGAGGACGTACCGGCACCGCTTCTCCGGCAGCGTCATGTCGGCGACAAAAGCGCCGTCCGTGTCGTCGGCCTTGCGCTTGAGCGGGCGCGGCGTAGGCGAGAGGTCACGTCGGTCGGCCGTGGCGGTCGAGGTGGCGACGAGGGCGAACGAGGTGGTGGCCGTCGACGCCATGACCTTTTTGTAGTCGAGCTTGGCGGCGTGGACGAGCCAAGGGTGGAGCGGGAGGCGGCCGAGGTCGGCGAGGTCGCGCTCGTCACAGCTGCGGTCGAGGTGGGCCTGGCGGACGGCGAAGCGAGGGCCCTCGAGGAGCGGGTAGGGCGCAGCGAGCATGCGAGCACGCTCAAAGCTGAAGAACGAGGCAGCACGAGGCATGGTCGCAAGGGGATGGGGAGGGTATGGGGAGGGGGAGTGGTGGGAAGGAGGAAGAGAGAGGGGGGGCAGGGCGAGAGGGCGAGGTCGACCGTCTCGCCACCATCACACGAATGCTCTGAAAGCACTCTTGCGCGTGCGCGAGGCTGGTCGACTCCCGAATGTGACGGCTGGTAGGAGCACGACGCGTCGACGCGGTGCGGGAGCGGGAGTGACCAAGTGGGGGGCTCTCGAACGCGAGTCGACAGGGGTCGCTCTGCACTCGAGACTCGAGTGCATCGTCCAAAGCTGGTCGTAGCAAGCTCGAGGCCGTGCGCGCCGACTGCGGCGAGCGGCGAGCTGTCGTCGCTGCGGCGAGGAGGCGGGCGCGCGCGTCGAGCGAGGGGAGGAAAGCGACGCGACAGCTGCGCTATGGCTCGGCCCACGGGCAGCAGGTGCACTCGTGACGCGTCCATGGCCAGCTCGCGGCAGCGGAGAGTGGGAGAAGGCGAGAGGATGAACGCGACGAAGAGGGAGGAGGAGGAGGGCCCTCTCTCGCCTCCCACACGCTCTGCTGGGCTGTGGAGGCATGCGCTGCCCGCTCTATGCTTATCATGCGCTACGTCAAGCCAGCCGACGCGCTCGCGCGGGTTGTGGGTGTCGAGGTGCGTCCCCCCCTCCCGTCCTCCCCTCTTCCCCCGGCGATGAAGCCCTTCCCTCCTCTTTGGTGCAGCGCCGGTGCATTCTGGGCGCCGTAAAGCTGACAACGAGTCCCTTCCCCCTCGCAGATGGCCCGCCCGCGCCGAGGTGAGCTCTGCAACCCTGTCCTCCCCCGACCGCGTCCACCCTCGCCGCCTCTTGCCGCCATCCTCTTTCGAGGGTACACGCTTCCTCGACACAGTCTGCTGTGCAAACATGGCGTCTCTACGATGCAGCTGGACCAGGAGAGAGCGCGCGGGACATCGTGTCGCCTCGAAGCTCGAACGCTCAGACTCGGCTCGCTCAGGCGCTCTGCTCGCGGACGGTGGCTTCGTCCTCGCCGCGCTTTGCGGCGCTGCTCGAGCGCCGCTGCTCGAAGCAGCCGCTGCCCCCCTGCTCCGCGCAAGATCCTCGGAGTTTTGTCCGCCGCACCTCCTCTCGCTGCGCCGGTTCGTTCGGCGACCAGCGTCCCTGGTCCAGCGTCAGAGCTGCGCATCGTTGCGCTCGGTCCTTCCTCGGCATCGTCTTGAGCCTCATGACGAGCTCGGTCTCGTCCGTTGCGCCTGACCTTCGCAGCGACCTCCTCCCTCGTCCCCCTTCGCCGACCTTTTCTTGCCTTCAAGCCGACTCGAGCATCCTCGACCCAGCGTCTGGTACCGCCAGAAGCCGCTCACAGGCGAGAATGAACACGTCGTCTCTCTCGCACGCCCTCGGCTCCCTCAACGACCCGCCGCGCAACCGCACCGAGCCGTCGGTCCCGCCACCCGCACCTTCGGTCGACTAGTTACCTCGCTGTCGCGTCGGCACCGTCGGAGAAGGTCTCGTCGGCCGCGGTCGTCAAGCCCGAGCCGCTCATCGTGGTCCTCACCCACAACGAGACGCTCCTTTACCGGCCCAAGAGGACGGCTCGCGGCAGCGTCAGCCCTATCGTCCGCCCCTACCTCAGCACACTCCTGTCGTACCTCTTCCGCCGCCACTCGGCCGACGGTAACGCCGGCGTCGATCGCGGGCGCGAGGTCCAGGTCGTCGTCTACTCGGCGGCCCGGGCGCACAACGTGCTCACCTTCTTTCGCGCCATCGACCTCGTCTCGTCGAGGGCATCGACTGGCCCTGACGGCGCCTACCGCCCAAGGGTCGACCAAGGCGACATCCTCAAGCTCGCCTTCACGCGCGAGACGATGGGCCTGCGCGACGAGGACTATCGCCAAGACGTCGTCACGGTCAAGGACCTCGCCGGCGTGTGGCGCGAGCTGGGCATCTCGCCTGAGCAGGGAGCCAGAAGTACGATCCTCCTCGAGGAAGACGAGCGTGCCGCTGTGCGTCCCTCCCTTTCTCTCCCCCTCTTCCTTCCATCTCTTCCTTTCCTCTTTACATCGTGTTCTCCCCCCGCCCTCGGACATCCTGCACCCGACGAAGATACGGCCTCAGACGACCTGACTCTCTCTTTGTCCCTCAGGCCGTCCAGCCGCACTCGCGCGTGCCCATCTCGTCCTTCACCGTCGCCGACCCGTCCATCACGATCCGCCGCCGCACCGTGCAGGTCACGGAGCTGCCCTCGTCGGCGCCTGACGACACGGCTCTCCTCCAGACCATCCACCTCCTCGAGCTCCTGCGCAACGAGTCGAACGTCGCCGGTGCGCTCAAGAGTGGGCTCGTGCGCCGCGCCGAGGACGACGCGAAGCTCCTTGTCCGCGAGCGCGAGCACCTCGGCGAGCGGGACACGGTGTCGGTCAAGGAGATGCAGAGCGAGCTCGCCAGGTTGGGCCGCCAGGCGTGCGCCAAGTACGGCGTGGAGGTGCGCAAGGAGTGGGACGACGGGTGGAGGGTCAAGGCGCGCAAGTGAGGCCGGTCAACCCCTCTCTCGTCGCACTCGATGAGCTGCAACGACTTTGTCCGCGACCGATGTACCGAGAGAGCTGCGGCAGAGCGGTGAGCAGAAGGCGAGCGGGCGACTCGGCGCGACCCTCTCTCTCTCTCTCTCTCTCTGTCTCTTTCTTTCTCTCTTTTCTGTCGTCCCTTTCCGCCTTTTCGACGACGCCTATCTCCGTATCCACGTCGAGCATGTCTGCAGAGCTGCTCAAGCAAGAGAGAGCGCAGTTCAAGACGAGAGAGGCTGGCACTGCCACCGTGCGCGCTCGAGACCGGCCTCGCTCCTCATTCTCGAACGCGATTCCTCCTCGTTCTCGCCTCTCGCCCCGCTCTTGTGCGGGACGCAGGCCTCGAGAGCAAGATGATCGAGAGCGTGCGCGACTATGTGCACTCCAAGCCGTCTCTTGCTCTCTCTGGCTCTCCTGCGGGGGCGCGCAGCACGCCAAGGACGGGACGGTGTTGCACAACACGCGGAGAGGTACAACAGAGAGAAGAGAGAGCGACGGACACGAGGCGCAAGGGGGCCGGGCGCGGTTCACTTGGCCTTTGCCTTGTCGGTGGCGGCCTTCTTCTCCTCGGCGGCCTTGCGCATGATGGTGAGCTTGCCGTGCGAGAGGGCCTGGGCGGCGATGTTCTTCTCGAGGCCGGTGGCGTGTGACGATGTGTTCTTCTGCGATGGTTCAACACGGCCGACGTGAGCTTGGATGAGCTGGGGAGAGAGAGAAGGGGGAAGAGGGCGAGTGCGAGACGGGGACGCACGCGGTGGACGACGCCGACCGAGACTGCAGCGGCCTTCTTGGGAGCGATCACGCGGGCTGTGAGGGGCTGTGAGGGTCAGTCGAGGGTGCGAGAGGCGCCAACTGATGAGACGGAGGAGAGGGGGGACTCGCCTCCCTTCTTGAGGTCCTTTGGCTGCTGCTTCTTCTGGGTGGTCGACTTGTTCTTGTGCGTGTTGGCAGGCGGCTTGGCCTTGAACCCCTGGACCATGGCGACGAGCGAGAGAGTGGGCGGAGAGCGAGAGAGAGGCGGAGGGCGCTCAGAGGTTGGCCCTCGCCGTACCACCGCTCTCGCTCGAGCTGCGTACCTGCTGCGCTCACAAGCACCTGCTGCACTCTAGCTCGACCCACCGCCACTCATGCGCGACGTGCGAGTCGTCCTCGTCGGCGACGAGGGCGCCGGCAAGAGCTCCATCATCTCGGCCCTCATCAAGTGCGTCTCTCCCTTGTCCGAGCCCCGTTCGACCCGCGCAATGCGTCGAGCATGGCCCGTGCTCCCTCCTCCCGCAATCACACACTGACCCGCCCTTGTCCTCCTTCGCCGCGTCCTCCCTCGGCACCCTCCCCTCTCCCCCACCTTCGCCTCGACTACGTTTCCCTCTCGCCCCTCCAGAGAAGCATTTGTCCGCCTCGCACCTCGAACTGTGCTCCCCGAGGTCACGATCCCGCCGTCGGTCACCCCGGGCCACGACGTGACCACCGTCATCGTTGACACTTCGCGTCCGTCCACCTTCTCGCCCAACCTCGAGTGCTCTCCCGCCCCCTCGTCCGAGCTGACCATGAGACATCGGACGTGTTCCCGGCACGCAGCTCGACCAGAAGACCGCAACCACCTCGTCAACGAGATCCGCAAGGCACACGTCGTTGGCATCGTCTGTGAGCTCCCCCCCCTTTCCCGTTCTCGTTCCCGCCCTACAGGTACGACCGACTGACTCTCCCTCCAACCCTCTCCCTGCCCGCCTCACCTCAATCCCCCGATGGCCCGCTCGTCGCAGATGCTGTCGACAACCCCAACTCGTTCGACCGCGTGCCCACCTACTGGCTGCCCACCATTCGGTCTCTCGGCGTCAACGTGCCCGTCGTCCTCATCGGCAACAAGATCGACTTGCGAGAGGGCCAGGTGACGAACCAGGCGCTCGAGGACGGTGAGTCTGCGCAGGCGAGATCGGCTCGGCGAACCGGCGGTGTGGACAGAAGGACCGCCACTAACTGTTGCCCTTTCGTCGTGCGCAGAGATCGTGCCCATCATGCAGGAGTACAAGGAGGTCGAGGCGCGCCCACTTTTCGCTCTTTCGGCAGGTGGTCTCGCTCGCTCGAGCCGACGCTGACCTGCACTCGAGCCCACAGACCTGCGTCGAGTGCTCGGCCCTTCTCCCCCTCAACGTGTCCGAGGTCTTCTTCTTCGCCCAGAACGCCGTCCTGCATCCGACTGCACCCCTGTACGACACGCGGCAACACGTCCTCAAGCCGGCGTGCGTCGCCGCCCTGTCGCGCGTCTTCCGCCTCGTCGACGCCGACAAGGACGGCCTGCTGTCGCCCGACGAGCTCAACGACTTCCAGCGCCTCGTGTTCGACGCGCCGCTCCAGGCAAGAGAGCTCGAGGGCGTCAAGGAGGTCGTCGAGCAGATGACGGACGGCAGCGGCGTCGAGGGTGGCGGGCTCAACGAGGAGGGCTGGCTCGCGCTCCACACGTACTTTGTCCAGAAGGGCCGCCTCGAGACGACGTGGAAGGCGCTGCGGTGCTTCGGGTACGGCGAGGACCTCATGCTCCGCGACGAGTTCCTGTTCCCGAGGTGCGTCGCCTCGACCTTTCCCCTGTTGCCTCCCCTGCCCTCCCCTCGAGGACCTCGTCCTGACAATGACGCCTCCGTGTCGACGCAGGTTCGACGTCCCGAGTGACTGCACGGCCGAGCTGAGCCCGAGGGGCTACCAGTTTTTCACCGACATCTTCGAGTCGTTCGACCAGGTGCGTCCCGCCTGTTCGCCCTTGCCTCGCCCTACCTGCGCGCACGTCCTGACCCTCTCGTACGCTCGGGCAGGACCGCGACGGCGCGCTCTCGCCGACAGAGCTCGACAACCTGTTCTCGACCGCGCCGGGCAACCCGTGGCTCGCCGGCAGCTTCCCCGAGACGACGCTCACGACGCCCGAGGGCGCAGTGACGCTTCAAGGCTGGTTGGCGCAGTGGTCGTGAGTCGTGTCGTTCCCCCTTGTCCTCATTAAGCCGCGCCGTCACGGGCTTGATGCAGCGGAACTCGAAGCTGATCACCCCGTCGAGCCGTCCGCAGGATGACGACCCTCCTCGAGCCTCGCGTCACCCTGTCGTACCTCGCCTACCTCGGCTACCCGCACTCTTCTGTGTCCGAGTCGACCCTCTCGCACCCTTCCACGCCCGCCGCTTCGACCTCGACTCGCCGGAACCCGTTCGCCTCGACGTCGACGTCGACCGACACCGGCGGCGGGCCGTCGTACCAGCTTCTGCCGACAACGAGCGCGCTCCAGGTCACCAAGCCTCGGCGACCGTCACGCCGCAAGGGCACGCCGGTCGAGCGCAGCGTGTTCCTCGCGTACGTCCTCGGCGCGTCTGGCTCGGGCAAGACGGCGCTCCTGCGCGCGTTCGTCGGCAAGGGCTTTGCGGGTGGCGCGCGAGCAGGGCACGATCCATGGGCGGCGCAGGGCAGGGCAGGAAAGGCGGCGACGTGGCCCAAGGGCTCGAGCGCGACGGGCCCCGGAGGAGCAGGGTCGCAGGGTGCGTTGGCGGCGGCCGAGGCGGCCGCGGCGGGCCGGGGCAAGGGCAAGAGCGTCGTCAACTGTGTCGAAGAGGGCGGTGGGGAGCGGTACCTCGTCGTGCGTCCACCCTCTCGCCCCCGAACCTCGTCGCACGAGCCACGCTCACGGCCCCTTGCCCCCCTTGCAGCTGCAAGAGTTCGGCTCGACGTACGAGTCCGAGGTGCTGCGCAACAAGAAGAAGCTCGAGCTCGCCGACGTCCTCGTGTTCGTCTACGACTCGAGCGACACCAACTCGTTCAGCTACGTGTCCAACCTGCGGGTGCGTCCTCTCTCTCTCTCTCTGTCGCCCGCCGAGCTCGTGATATGCGACTCTCACTGACAACGAGATGATGTTCGCGCCGAGCAGCAGCAGTACAAGCTCGACGACATCCCGACCCTGTTCGTCGCGACCAAGAGCGACCTCGACCTGGCGCAGCAGGTACGTCGCGTCTCTCTCCCTCCCTCTCTCTGCCACTCCCTCTCGGTTGCAGACACTGACTCTCTCTCTTTTCGCGTCTCTGCAGCGGCACGAGGTCCAGCCCGACACGTACTGCCGCAAGCTGTCGCTGCGAGTACCGCTCGCCGTCTCGGTCAGGCGAGGCGAGCTCGCCGACCTGTACCACACGATCGTGCGCATCGCGCAGCACCCGTGCGTCGTCCTCGTCCGCCTCGTCCGCTCTCTGCCCGGGTGACTGACCTCTCGACCTTGCACGCAGACTCTCGGCGCTCCCTTACGGGCCCGATCGGTCGTCGGCGTCGTCCTTGCTCGGATTCCCGGTCACGCGCACGCAGTTCTACGTGTGTGCGTCGGCGGGATTGACGGCGACGCTCGCAGTGGGCGCCGTGTGGTGGTTGCGGGCCGCGGCGAGGCTGCACTCGGCGACGAGCGGAGGAAGCGCAGGGGGAGGTGGAGGAGGGCACGGTATTCTCGGGTGGCTCGGGATTGGGCGAGCATGAGCGCGCGAGACTGGATTGCACGTCGTGCCTGCGTCCCTCGTCGTCGTCGTCGAGAGAGTGCGGCAAAGGCGAGACACGGACACGAGGGCTGTGCACTTCCCCCGCCGCCGAGCGGGACGAGGACGAGAGAGCTTGTTCTTCCTCGCCTTTGTCCTCGCCTCTCGTCGCTTGCTCCCCCGCCCTGAGCCTCGCTTCTCCCACGCACGACCACGACCATGAACGCGGAAATGCTCGACGCGCTCGGCGGCATCGCGACCGGCTCGGGCGCGAGTGCGGCAGGAGGACGAGGCGCCTTCACCTCGGGTCAGCCAGCAGCGTTCGCCGCACAGGCACCACAGCGACAGCTCGACCGTGCGTCCCCTCTCCCCCTGCCCGCGTTCAGCCCAGACGCGAGACTGGCGAGATGATGACTGACCTCTTTGCCCCCTCTCTTCTCCCCCCCCTCCCTGTCGCCGCCCGTGGACGGTCGTTACCTCGATGTGCCGCCATGTGCATGCCCGACAACTGCGGCTGCCGCGCGAGCAGTCGTCTTCATTCTGGACTGCACGGGCTGTGAGTCCCGCTCGCTGCTCATCGCCCGCATGACCTCACACAGCTCACTCTCGCTCCGCACCGCGCAGCCATGGGCTCGTACATCGCTGTGAGCACTCTCTTCATCCCTCGATCCCCTGCGCCCGACCCGAGCCAGAGCTGACACGGCCGCCCCTCGCGACTTTGTCTCCCCTCTTCCCTCCCCACTGTGCCCCGACGCCCTTCTCCCCTCGTGCAGAGCGCAACCAAGAACATCGAGCTCATCTGCGAGAACATCGTCCACTCCGGCAGCTTGCCCAACGCCGACTGCCTGCGCATCGGCCTCATCGCGTACCGGTGCGTCCCCGTTTCGCTCTCGTCGAGGCGGCAGAGCGCCGTGTCGCGCTCCCCTTTTGCACCTTGGTGCCAGCCCTGACATTCCTTCGTCCTCCCTATAGCGACTATCCGCCTCAGGACAAGTACGGCTCCTTCGAGCCTCGTTTCCGGCGCGACCTCCTCTGACCGGCGTCCCTGTCCCTTGGCCCACAGCTCGTACATCACCAAGTCGTTCCCGTTCACCTCGTCCGTCCCGACCATGAAGGAGCAGCTCAAGTCGCTGTACGCGTCCGGCGGCGGCGACGGGCCTGAAGGCGTCACGGCCGGCATCAAGGCGGCCATGGAGCTCGACTGGCGGCCCGAGGCGTCCAAGATGTGCGTCCTCATCGCCGACGCGCCCTGCCACGGTATCGGAGAGGTGCGTGGCTCCTTCTCTTTGTCCTGTCGGCGCTCGAGCGCCGAAACCTGACTTGCCGCACGCGCAGTACGGCGACGGGTTCCCGCAAGGAGGGCCCGATGGCGAGGACCCGCTTCTTCTCGCGAGGCAGATGGCCGCCGCCGGCATTCCTCTCGTGCGTCTCAAAGTCCCTCTTGTGACCCGGCGCACGCCGTCGCAGCCGGTCGAACACTGACCCATGTCCCCCCTCCCGTCCCTCTCGCCCGCCTTGCAGTTCGTCGTCGCCTGCGAGCCCGCGCTGTCTGGCTACCAGTTCGGCCTCGACTGGTTCCGCGCCCTCACTGTCATCACGTCGGCCGTCCTCGTCCCGCTCACGACGGCGACGCTCCTGTCGCACGTCATTGTCGGCTCGGCGCTCGAGCACCTCGAGATGGAGCGCCTCATCCACGAGGTCGGCCAGGCCGTCGCCGAGCGCATCCACGCCGGGCTCCAGACGGTCGACGACGTCGCCAAGGAGCTGCACGAGCGGCTCCTCCTTCGAGGAGAGGAGACGAAGCAGCTCAAGTTCGAGTCGATCCATGTGCGTCGAAGATCTCGCCTCTGTCTCGTCGGCGCGCTCTCTAGACGCCCTCAATGACTCACACGTTTGCCCTCGACCGCAGCGCGACACGGACGAGACGCGGCATAACGTCGACACGTTCGTCAACGCGCCCGACCTGCAGTCGGCCAAGCCTCTCTTGCGCAAGGTGCGTCGAGATTCACCTTTTGGAGGAAAGACGGAGTTTCGCGCTCTTGACTGACTCCTGCTCTCGCCGGTCCAGGTGCGCGGTTCTCGGTTCACCGACAAGTACCTCGCGTCGCGGTACAACTCGTCCTTCATGCGCGGTCCCTCGTCCGACATCCTGTACCCGACCCTTCCTCCTCGGCCCGGCACGATGGGCGCGTTGAGCGGCAGCCGAGGCGCGCCGGGCTCGCCGCCGCGCAAGATCATCTCGGAGTTCAAGCCGTTCGTCGGCGGCGCCGGAATGAGCGTCGCCGACGCGCCGATGGGCCTCGGCGGCGGCGGCGGGGCGGGAGAGGACCAGAACGCGGCCAAGGAGGAGGTCAAGGAGGAGCAGGACGAGGTGGACCGGCTCGCGCAGAGCGTCGAGCTCAGGTTCGCCGGCATCAGTCTTGAGCAGGTGCGTCGCCAAGTTCCCTTGAGACTCGAGCCCTCTCGCGACACGCCTCGATTCGGACTGACTCGTCTTCCTTTATGCTCGCAGGCCAAGCGTATCACGATCGCGAGCGCATGGCGCACGGCTGCGCCACGCGCTTGAGCCGGTCGCGCTCCGCCAGCTTCGTCTCGCCGTCGCCCACCTCGTCCTCTCGCCCTCGTCACGAACCCCTCGCACCCCCAGCATGTCTCCCTCTCGTCGTCTACGATACCCTCGCCTGCATCCCTGTCTATCCGCACGCCTACCGCCTCGCCTTCGTCCGGTCGTCCTCCTCCCCTGCCCGCTTCTTGCCGTTCCTCTCTGTCTCTCTCGCTCCTTCTCTCTGTCTTTAGTCGACTCGACCTCGTACAAGTCGTGCTGCGGCAACGAGTCGAGCTGGTCAGTTGCACCGGGAGGGTTGCGCATGATCCCGCGAGCGACGAGGGATCGGTACGTTGCCGAGAGAGATCGCCCAGAAAGTGGAGGGAGTTTGATCAGAGAAAAGGGCGGCGGTCATCGACGCGGGTGCGCAGGAGGGGGGGCGAAAATGCGAGGCGGTGCGGTCGTCATCGAGAGGATCGCCTGCGGGCGCGCGTCCTCGCTTTGCCGGAGCCTCGCCTCTCTCCCTCTCCTCCCTCCTCCTCCTCCTCTTCCCACTCGCCTACCTCGCGCTTTCGACTCGCGAGTCTTCTGCTTCAGCTTCATCCGCACCACCCACCACCACTGCCAGGTGCGCTCTCGTCTCTCTCCCCCCCTCTCCCCCACTTCCCCCCCTTCCTCTCCCGGCCGGCGCTGACGACCTCTTCCCTCCCGACGTCAGTTCTACCTCGTCGACCATGACCGACGCGCTCGCACGCGTCCCTCTGCTCGGCAACGACCGCGTCGAGCAGGCCGACTTGACCATCACGTCGCTCGCCCAGGCCTACGGCGCCCTCCAGGCCGGCAAGATGCCGACCTCGGACCAGCTCGTGCAGGGCATCCGCAAGGTCCTCTCGTCGTCGCTCCTCCAGCCCGACATTGCGGGCATGGCGGCCAAGAAGGTCGGCGGCGGCAAGCTGTCGAACCGCGGCCGCAACGTCGTCGTCGCCGAGCGCCGCGTCCTCGAGGCCATCGCCCGCCTCGTCCTCGAGAAGAACGGCGACGACACGCTCCAGCAGTTCATCTGGGAGGCCCGCCACGCCGACCTCGAGCACGTCGACGTCGACGCCGACCTCCACGTCGAGCTGCCGCACGTCCCCGTCCCCTCGGCGGGCGAGGTCAAGGACGCCGGCAAGAGCCTCCACGAGCTCGTGTCGCTCCTCCTCACGTCGAGCGAGCTCCGCAACCTCCTCGCCGACTCGCTCAACCTGTTCCGCGACCTGTTCGCCGACGCCCTCGACGAGGCCGCCCAGGCCCAGATCAAGACGATGCGCGCCTCGAAGAAGGCCGCGCGCCGCATCCGCCCCTCGAGCGAGCAGCGCGAGCAGCACAAGACGGGACTCGAGGCCGACCACTGGGAGGACGTGCTCGGCAACGCCCAGGACGTGCGCAAGAGCATCCGTCGCGGTTACGAGGACAAGCGCGACGACATGCTCCGCCACGGCGTCAAGAAGGGTCGTGCGGTACGTCCTCGTTCCTCTCTCTCCCTCTCCCTGCGAAGCTGCGCCGTGACTGACTCGCTCTCGCCGGTCCCTGCAGCTCAAGGAGTACGTCGAGGAGAAGCTGCCGACCGACACCAAAGACGCCGTCATCGAGCGCTGGCGCGCCATCGTCGACGAGATCCAGTCCAAGCCCGAGTACCAGGACGCCGTCAACACGCTGAGCGGCCTCGGCCGCAAGTACTTCAACCTCGCCAAGGACGAGCTCAAGCGCGCCGCCGAGCAGTCGTCGGCCAAGCTCAAGGACGTCGACGCCGAGGTCAACGACGAGGCCAAGGACGCCGTCTCGCTGTTCCGCCACCTCGTCGAGCAGTTCACGGGCCCGATCGACGGCGCGCTCCAGGCCGCCGACCAGCTCCACACGGACGTCAAGGGCGACGACCGCATCCAGGCCATCTGGGACGACTTTGAGCAGCTGTTCGACCGCGCCCTCAACGACCCGGGCTACATCACGAGCAACAAGGCGTCGCGCAAGTTCGAGACCATCTACGACCGCGCGCGCGACGTCGTCGAGTCGAACGCCGACTGGAAGCGCGACGCCAACGCGTTCGTGTCCGAGATGCAGAAGCTCCTCGACCACGCCGCCAACGACCGCGCCCTCATCGCCGTCGGCGACGCGTTCGAGGACCTCGGCGACGCCTTTGCCGAGTTCGGCAAGACCGGCTACAACCTCATCGGCGTCGACGGCGGCGACCTGTGGAAGGACGTCTCGACCGTCTTCCTCCCGCGCATCCTCGGCACGCTCAAGAAGATCCCGCTCCCGCGTGTCGAGTTCTCGTCCGAGGACTTTGACCTCGTCGTCGACAACATCTCGTTCTCGGCGTGCGTCCCCGTTCTCTCTCTCTCTTTCTCTTCCTCGTTGTGCGCGACCCTGACCCTTCTTCTGCCTCCTCCTCCTCCTCCTCGCCGACACAGCGCCTCGTTCATCCCCGACGCCGCTCACTTCAAGAGCAACGTCGAGTTCCACACCAAGAAGGGCTACGCCGCGTACTCGTCCGAGTTCGTCACCAAGACGACGCTCGCGTTCGCCGGCCTGCGCCTCCAGGCGACCGACATCTCGTACTACGCGCACAAGAAGACGGGCTGGATCGGCCTCGAGGACGCCGGCCTGCTCGACATCTTCATCGGCTCGGCGCACGACGACAAGGCGCAGGACGGCCTCGACGTCACGCTCGTCCTCAGCAACGCGACCGAGTCGGACCGCGAGTCGTTCTTCAAGCTCGACAAGGTCGACGTGCACCTCGAGAACTTCGACATCAACATCCGCCAGAGCTCGAACCCGATCCGCTCGTGGCTCGCAAAGAGCGCGCTCCGTGGCTACATCGAGGCCAAGGTCAAGGAGGTCGTGCGTCCCCATTTCCCTTTGTGTCCTCGTCGTCCTCGAGGGAGGCGGCGCTCGTCCAGAGTCAGGCCCTGACTCTTCCTTCCTCTCTCTCTCTCCTCCCCTCTCTCACAGATCGAGGAGCAGGTCTCGGCGGCGTTCAAGGCGCTCGACAAGCAGCTGTACCTCCTCCACTACAAGTCGCTCGGCGCCGCCGGCGCCGCGCCCAACCCGCTCGCCTACTTCAAGGGCCTCCTCAACACGGGCTCGTCGGCGACGCCCTTCTACGGCGAGGTCACCGAGGCCGGCATCCGCAAGGTCGGCCCCAAGGGCGAGTGGGTCCTGCAGATCGGCATTGAGGACGAGCTCATCCCGGGCGCGCGCACCCGTCTCGGCCGCAAGGGCGAGGACATCGTCGGCCGCAAGCGCTCGACCGAGGCGCTCCTCGAGGAGGGCCGCCAGGAGCTCATCGGCGCCGTCACCGACACGACCGGCACCGACTCGCTCTCCCAGGCGTACGACGAGACGGCCAACAACCTCGACGAGGCTGTCGACTCGGAGCGTCGCAAGGCGCTCAAGGTCGCCAAGCGCCGTGCGCGCGAGGAGGCTCGTCGCGAGGGCTGGCGTTCCGAGGCGTTCGACCTCTGAGCGACCTCGCTCACGTTGTCGTCGTCGCCGTCGTGATCGCCTCGGTGGATGAAGAGCAGGAGGCTGTCGTCATCGAGCACCATCGTCGTCGTCGACGGTGCCCGACTCGCTTTCCGTAGTTTAGCTCCCCCTCTTTTCAGTTCCTCTGTGTTCCCACCCTCAGTGCCCCGTGTAAATACTCTTCACTCCTCTCTCCTCTCTGTCGTGCGAGAGACGAGCGAGAGGCGGATCGTGCATCCTGTGAGAGCGGGCGAAGCACGAGAAGCAGGCTCTGAGAGACGCTCGAGCCGCTGCTACGACCCTGTGGCCGCCTGCCCTGTGTCGACGTCCTCTCCTCCGTGCACTGAGCTACGAGCGGATACAGATGGCAGACGGTTCCGTCACGAGCAGCTGAACGACGCCGACCGAAAGATGCTCCTCCTTGTCTTCGTGCAAGGGCTTCGCTCGTCGCTCGTTGAGACGCTCCCGCTCCCGACTTAGATTCAACCAGAGTCGAGCACTACGTGCGAGTGCTCGGTACCTGCACGAGCTTCAGCGACGCAGCAGTGTCACGCCGCTCGGCAGAGAATCGTTCGCCTCGCACGGACCGCCGCACTCTCAGGCTTCGCTCGTGACAGCACCGCTCGCGGGTCATTTGCCGGGCAGCTTCCCATGGCGCGACGGCTTAAGCGCAGCTGCGCACTCGAGCCAAGCGAGTTCTCGAGAGAGCAGAACCGAGTGCCGGCTCGTCTCGTCGCACTCGGCGAGGGGGCGTGCGTTTGACCGCAAGCGCTTTCGTCTGTCTCTTCCGAGACGCACTGTCATCGCTCGCTGTCCACCTCGCGCTCGAAGTGACGCCGGGCCGCCAGCCCAGCTTGCGAGGAAAAGGCGCCGACGCCGGCCGCGCCGTCGGCCTTCTCAAAACACGCTTTCGAGTACCGCAGCGCGTGCGACGGCTTGGCGCCTTCTTCCGGCTCTCGCTCTCGCAGACGACGTTACGAGGAAGAGAGAAAGAGGCCGCGTCGTCGTTGCAAGTAGCATACAGTCGCTGCTCGCAGTCGGGCGAACGGCGCCAAACCAGCCTTCCTGCCTCCGATTATGCCGCACCGACCCACAGCTTGACCGCCTCGGCCCGGATCCATGTCGTACAGGCGTAGGCCTCGGTACCGACGGCGCCATGACGAGCGGACGGTCGAGCACGTGAAGCTGCCGTCGAGCCGTTTGCGAGCAACGCCGCCCGAGCTGCGGGGGCGGTCGCGGCCAAGGTCAGTAAGGCGCACATGCTCGGCGAGATGGAGGGAGTGCTCCAAGTAGACGGACGGCCGAGGGCTGGGCCGGATGGGAGGAAAGAAGGGGAAGAAGGGAGGAAAGGAGGACGCACTTGTTGCGCCGCCGCGACCGCCGAACGTCGCCTGCCCACCCCATGTCCTTGACGATACCGCACGGCAGCACGAGCCGAGTGCGAGGAGCTCACGCGTGGCTCACGCCGCCGCCCGTCGCACCTCGTCCCGCTCGACTTCGCGCACGAACCGCCACCAGCTCGTGCCGAACCCACGCGCAAAGGTCGCGCGCTGGATCTCGACGGCGCCCGGGTCGTCGCTGCACGACGACGGCTGCTCGATGAGGAAGTCGACGCCGGCGTCCTTGGCCGCGTCGAGAAGCGCCGCGGTCGGGCGCCCGGTGGCGGTCGCGCGCTCGCTCGCCCCGACGTCGAGCTCGTCCTCCTCCTCGTCGTCCTCGCTCTGGACCTGCTCCTCTCGCTCGTCATCGTCCTGCTCGTCGTGACCGTCGAGGTCCCGCAAGGTCCCCTCGGCCCGCACATGCTCGACGGCGCGCCACCGCATGCCGGCGCGCAGCTCGGCGCTCTCGAACAGCGAGAGGAGCGTCGCGCGCAAGGCGTCGAGACCTGCCGGGTACAGGGCGATGTGCAAGTAGGGCGGCGGCGGTGCTCGAGCTCTCGCGCCCTCGCCCACGCCCTCACCCTCGCCGGCGCCGAGGACGAAGTGCGTGCCGACGAGACGCGACCACGCGGCGTCCCAGTACAGGCCGGCGGTGCGCAGCGACGGGAAGGCGGGCCCGGGTGGTGCCGACGAGTCGCGCTCGTCGTTGCGCGGGAAGAGGATGTCCTCGGCCGTCGCGTCGAGCGACAGGCTGCGGAGCCCTGCGGCGACGGAGCGGACGAAGGCGCGGATGGACGAGGGCGACTGGTCGTGCGAGCCGGTGTGTAGGAGAAGGTGTTGGAGGTGGGGGAGGGGTCGGCAGTCGGGGTGGGCGGAGAAGGGGAGAAAGTCGCGGCGGAGGGAGCACAGGCGGAGGTCGAGCGAGGTGAGGGCGGCGAACGAGGGTGGGGGAGGGAGAGGGAGGTCTGGCGGCGGCTCGAGGAGCGGGTAGAAGGTCGAGACGAGGGTGCACTGCCGAAAGGACAGCGCTGCGAGGTCTGCGCAAGGAAGAAGAGGATCAGTTGGTGTGGGAGGGACGAGGAAGGCGGTGGGACGGACTGGATCCGACGGCGACTTGATCGAGGTGGACGCGCTCGACGTAGGTGAGGACAAGCTCGTCGAGGCTGTCGCACTCGCGCAGGACGGCTGCGAGGTCGTCGTCCTGGTCGTCGCCCCACAGCTCGAGGTCGAGGCGCTTGACGAGGCGAGGGAGCTTTGCGAGCGGGTGGCGGGCGAGTTTGGCGAACGGGTCGTACTCACGGCGGTGGTACAGGCTGACCCGGTCCTGCGCGAGCAAGAGGCGCTGGGCGACCGGGGTCCACGTCGAGTGAACGAGCGACAACGAGTCGAGGAGACGACGGCCGCGTCGCGCCTCGAGCGGGTCGGCTGGGTCTAACGGGCTCGCCGACAGCTCGATGATGCGCGCCACGAGCTCTGGCGGCAGATCTGCGAAGCGCTGCATCGTCGACGACAGCCGACAGCCAACGAGCGGGTCGACCCGACGGCTCAGCTCTCTGGCGTCGCTCCATCTCGCCCTGCTGCGATGCTAGCTAGCCAGAGCCGGTCCCACCCTGTCCTGCAGCACATCCCGCCCCACTGCGACGCGCGAGCGGCGACGTCACCCCTGTCGACTTCATCGCCCCGAACCTCTCGTCCACCTCGTCCACCTCTCACCGCAGCGTCGAACACGCCGATCGTGCCTCGCCAGGCCGCACAGGGCGACGCACGTGCTGCTGAGCCTGCAGCGGTACTCGCCCACCGCCCTGTTCGGTCCCCTCTCCCCCCTCGGCCGACCGGCCAGCCATCTCGCTCGGTCGGCTTGCCCTCCCGCCAACTCGCCCCGGTCGCCCAGATTCAGCTGCGACAGCCCTTATGGCATCTCGCTCGACTCGGCGGCTGGAGCGACCAGCGCTGCTTGGCTCTTTGCCTGTCACTCTCCGTCCTTTCGCCTGCTCGCGACCACCCTTGTCCTCTCTTCTGCTGGCTCAGCCGCAGCTCCCGCTGGTCGATTTCGTACACTCGCTCTGCGAGCCTCACTCGGCATCCTCCCACTCAATCGGTGCGTCCCTACCCTCCCTTCCCCTCTTCCTGGCGGGCCCCAAGCTGACCCTTCCTCTCGCGCAGGTCCTTTCCGCCCCACCTCATCGCCAAGATGCACCAGGCCCACCTTCCCGCCGTCCTCCTCCTTTCTATCCTGTCCCTCGCCTCGGCCCTGCCCTACCCCTACCCGTCCGCGCTCGACCTCGTCCCGTCGTACGCTCGCGCCAACTCGACGACGCCTCTCGACGAGCGCCAAGCCTGGCAGCAATCGCTTGTTCGGCGACAGCGTGTAGCCGCACCGGTGGTCGCTGCGACGCCCGTCGCCGTGCGACCAGGCGCGGCAGCCGCAGCGGCGGCGGCGGCGGCGGCGGCGGCAAGCAGCTCAGCTGCTCTGAGCGCCGCACAAGCGGCAGCTCGGGCCGCGTCCGACGCCGCCCGGACGAGCGCCGTCATCAACCGAGCTACGCGTGCCGCGGCAACGGCGCTCCCGGTCAACGTCAAGGCCACTGCCGCCCTTGCCGCGACGAGCAGCTTGGCGTCCGTTCCGGCGACCCCGATTCGCCCTCGACCGGCGCCGTCGGCGTCGAGCTCCGTCACCGAGGCCTCAACCACCACGGCGTCTTCTATCGCGCTCGCCACGTCTTCCACGCCCATCTCGGCCGACAGCGCGACCGACGAGACGAGCAGCTTTTCGTTCGACCTCACCCCTTCCACCGCGCCGCCGTCTGCTCCAGCTCGTTCCTCCGACATCAGCCGTCAAGCGTCAGAGAGCAACGTCGTCGTCGCAAAGAGCTCGGAGAAGAGCGGCAGCGGCAGCATCTTCTCGCCGTCCTCGAAGCTGTTCGCGGTCGGCGTCCTCATCATCGTCGGCATCGGTGCGTCCTCCCCCATTCTCTCTATGGCGGACCTCTCGACTGACTCTCTACGCCCACGCCCAGTCGTTCTCGCCGTCCTCGCCGCACTCTTCGTCATCAAGCGCGCGGCACACTCGCGCCGGTACGCCGACGAGCGCGACTACCCGCACGGCCTGCCGCCGGCCATCCTCGACGAGCTCAAGGAGAAGCCGCACTCGAGACGCTCGGGCTCGTCTCCCGGCCACGCGTCGCTCCTCGCCGATGCACAGCCGCCCGCAGGAGCCGAGGCGGCCGCGCGCGAGTGGAACGCTCGAGCGCCGGTCGCTCGGGTCCCGCCGCCGCCCTTCGTCCCGAGCTCGACGCCGACGAGACATCCTCTGCGCCCGTCGTCGCCTTCTCGAGGGTCTGTCCCGCCGCCGCCACCGCCCAAGCCCATCCTGTCGACCGCGCCGCTTCCGACCGTCGACGGTGCGGCTCGTCCGCCCCCTTCTCGTCACTCGCCTCCCTCCCTCGGCCGCCTCGTCCCCGATACCGCTCGGCCATCGAGCATGTACGAGCCGGCGAGGCCGCCGCAGCCGTCGGCGCTCGCAGAACTGAGCCGGCACCGGTACAGTCCGCCGAGGGGCAGGGAGAGCCACCTCCGACACGAGCTCTAGCCGGTCTCGAGCTTGCCCGTCCAGCAGGAGTAGAGTCCGTGCTCCACGACGAGCTGTGTAACGAAGCATGTTTGTCGTCCGCCGACGCGTCGAGAGCGAGCAGCGAGCGAGAGGCAAGTCACGAGAGAGAGGAGGAAAAGGACGAGCGGGTTGGCCGCGCTGCGGCACAATCACACGTGTCACAGCCTGACGAGTCGCATGAGAGCACGTTCTGCGCAACTCGAGACGTGAGAGTGAGCGAGGACGACATTGTCGACGACGACGAGGTGCTTCGCTCGGGTCGACTGTCTGCTCCCACCGACCGCGTCTCGTCTCGCGGGCACTGCCGCGTACGACAATACTCGACGATGAGCTATCAGCCGGTGCGTTCCGTCTCTCTCCCGCCTCGCCCGTCCAGCTCCCCGACCCTCCCTCGCCGGCCGCCCTTTCACCCCCACCTCGTCCTCGATGGCGCCTTGCACGGCGCAGGGCGCTGCGGCGGTGCACGGACACTGTAGCTGACAAGCCTCGCCTCCGCCCGCATGCCCCGTCCGCCTCGCCTCGACCCCTCGCCGGCCGCCCTCGCACCTCGTCGCCCGGCGCACCGCCTCCTTCGCCTCCCTTCCCTCTCGGCCAATTCGCCCGCTCCCTCTCTCGTCCTCGACGCCCACCGTCCGGCTACACCGATGTCTGCACGACAGGGCGGCGCATTCCGCCGCAAACTCGTCATCGTCGGCGACGGCGCGTGCGGCAAGACGTCGCTCCTGAGCGTCTTTGCCATGGGCGAGTTTCCGAGGGAGTACACGCCCACCATCTTTGAGGTGCGTCCCTGTCCTTTCCCTCGACTGTCGTGGCGCGAAACTGACAAGCGAGCGTGCGCCAACCGCAGAACTATGTCGCCGAGATTCGCCTCGACGGAAAGGCCGTCCAGCTCGCCCTTTGGGACACGGCGTGCGTCCCCTCTCCCTCACTCTTCTGCGCAATCTTGCGGCGACTGATCCTGCGTCGACATATGCAGCGGCCAGGAGGAATACGAGGTGAGCACGCGCTCGAGCTGTCGGACGAGGCGGCGCGGACTCGGCGGAGATTCCGAGTTGTGCCCGGCCCACCTCTCGAGCGCAACGCTGACACTTGCGCACCCGTCGTCGCCCACAGCGTCTACGCCCCCTGTCGTACTCCAAGTCGCACGTCATCCTCATCGCGTTCGCCCTCGACACGCCCGACTCGCTTGAGAACGTCACGGTCAAGTGGATCGAAGAGGTGCGCGAGCTGTGCGGGCCCAGCATCCCGGTCCTGCTCATTGGCCTCAAGATGGACCTGCGAGACGAGGCCATGCAGCAGGGCGGCGGCGAGCGCGGCAGGTTCGTCACGACCGAGCAGGTGCGTCCGAACCTCTCCCTTCTCCCTCGCCCTCTCTCGCGATCCCGAGCCTGACGCCGCCTCTCCCTCCTCGCGTCCCTCAGGGTCGGCAAATGGCGGCGCAGATTGGTGCCCGCTCGTACCACGAGTGCTCGGCGCTCCTCAACTCGGGCGTCGACGAGACGTTCGAGGCGGCGACTCGCGCCGCCATGCTCGTGCGCGGCGCCGGCGCCGGCGCGAGCCACGGACATGGCCACAGCGACGACGACGGCGGCAAGGAGCGCGAGAGGCGGAGAAGGGACAAGGACGAGGGCGGCGGGGGCCCGTGCGGCTGTGTCATTCTCTGAGCAGGGGCGAGGACGACCGAGGATAGATCGAGGGCGACGCTTTCTTCTCTTGCGGCTCTCTGTACACTGCTGTCTTTTCTCCTCTTCTTTTACGCATCTTTGCAACACGTCTAGTCTTTCACGTCCCTCGTCGTCGTCCGAGCCAACGAGAGAGAGTGAGAGAGGTTCTCGAGCTGCGTTGCAGGGCGCTCATGCCGCTCACGCTTCGTCCTCGAGCAAAAAGTCCTCGACCTCCTTGCGCATCGCCTCGACGCCGTGTACCACCCGCTCGCCGACAACCTCGTTGTGCTGCTCGCTCGCGTCCCGCTGCGGCGCCGGTCCTCGCTGCGGCTGCTTCGCGAGCACGGCATCGCGCACGAACGGCGGCAGGACGAGCTGCTCAGGTCGCGCTCGACCTTTGGCGACGGGAGCCGTGACGGGCTCTTGCAGGACGAGCAGGCAACCGTAGCACAGGTGCGGCGCGAGGGTCGGCTCGCCCTCGGCTGCGGCGAGACCGCCCGACGGCTGCACCGGATCAGGGTCCGAGGCTGCGTCGCCGACGACGAGGTGTGCTGCACTCGGCGCGTACGGCGCCCGCACGCCGCCCTTGCCCTCGGGCAGCTGCACGTCGCGGCTCGCGTCGTCCTCGAGCGCCGCCTTGGCGCCGACGAGGTCGGCGATGGTGATGGCCTTGCGCCACTCGTCGGCAGCAGGTTGCGCCGGGAGGCCGCACAGGGCGCAGAGCGGGAGCGACGGCGACGACGAGCGCTGGCCGAGCTTGTGCGCCGTGCGGAGGACGGTCTGGGCGGTCGAGGGGAACGAGGCGTCGAGTGAAAGGACAAAGTCTGCGCGAGAGTACGGCATCAGTGACGCCAGCACAAGGTGCTGGGAGGCTCGAGAGAAAACGAGAGCGCACCGTCGACGAGGGCCCGCACGCTCCTCCCCTTTGCGCTCGTCTCCTTCTCGTCCGCCTCGCGCCCGACCGGCGATGGCGGCGGGTCCACGTGCCGCAAGCCCGCCGTCTCGCACAGGTGCCTCGCCTCGCGCAGCGACACGAGCGCAAGGGGCCGGACGACGAGAACCCTGCCCTCGGCGCCGCCGTCGGCGGGGCGCGCGACGTACTCGGCGCCGATCTCCTCACCGGCGCTCCAGCCGCGCCCGGACGCCATGCCGCTGAGCATGTCGACGGCGAGGCGAGTGCCCGTCGAGCCGAGGAGGAGGATCGAGGCGCCCGTGGCGCGGGCGTGAGAGAGGAGGAGGGCGTGCCGGAGCGAGGCGAGGAGCGAGTCGCGCGAGGTCGGCGACAATGCGCCGAGGAGCGTGACGAGCTGCTCCTTGGAGCTGAGGCGAGGCGGGCTGCTGGAGGAAGAGGCGACGGGCAGGGCGGCCGAGGATGTGCTCGCGACGAGCGGCTCGGACGAGGACGAGTGCGCGGTCGAGAAGACGTCCTCGATCTTGAGCGCCGTAAAGCGGAAGGGCGTCGAGGATGCGACGATGTCGGCGATGGAGGCGGACCGGTCGGGCTGCGGGTCGGCGAGGGATCAGAGCGAGCGGTGCGGGTGAACGAGGGAGAGGAGACGCACCTCGTCGCCCGTCACGCTGCTCTCGTCGACGTAGACGACCTCGCAGTCGGCAAAAGCTGGCGCCTTGAGCAGGCCGTGCTTCTTGGACTTCTTGCCGGTAGTTGCAGCTCGAGGGCTCGGTCCCGCCGTCGGCGCCGAGTCAGTCGGGGCGGGCTCGAGATGCGAGAAGTGGGCGACGTTGAGGAGCTCGAGGACGGCTCTGCGGCGTCATGCAGGGTCAGGAGAGAACGCTGGCCTCGGGCAAGAGGGCATGTGGCGCACCTGGAGCTTGCGCCACCGCTAAAGGCGACGACGACCTTGGCCGACGGTGGGCGGTCGAGCCGGCGCGGCACAGGTGCGGGCGATGCATGGGCGTCGAAGCCGGCGGCACTGACCGTCTTGGCGCCGTCGAGGGCGCGGGTGAAGCGGTTCGAGAGGGTTTGGCGGAAGCAGTCGCTGCACGGAGAGCGAAGAGAGGTGAGGTGGTGCGAGGGGGCGACGAGTGGGAACGGGCGCGACGCACTGGCAATAGGCGGTACCTCGCTGGACAAAGGTCGGTGGAGCGTTGCAGCGGATGCACTGGTCGGGAACGGGTGTCGGTGCTGTCGGCGAGAGACGAGGTGAGGAGAGGCGAGATGGCGAGGGACGAGCGCGGGCGCACCTGAAAGGGCTGCGCTGTCCTCCTGGTCGCGCTCAGACTGGCCACACGAAGCTGCAGCCATGCTTGACCGCGAGAGCGAGCTGGAGCGGTCCTTTGTCGTCGTCGCCTCTCGCTCGAGCTCTCGCTCCTCGTCCGGCTCTGCGCCACCCTCGAGGCCAGCTGTGCCCTGCCCACCTGAGCAGTCACGCCGCTCTTCGACCCTCAACAGCTCGCCGCAGCTCGCCCCATGCGCTTGCGACCTCGCCTCGCCTCGTCATCTCTCCTCCGACACTCGACCCGCCAACCTCGTTCCCCGACCGTCGCCATGTCTGCTTGGAACGGCCAAGACTCACGGTGGATCAGTTGCTATCCCGAGGACGAGCGCGCACGCGGGCAGCACGGGCAGGGGTGGGGCGAGTACGGCCACCAGCCTCACGCCGGACCGAGCGACGGCTGGAACCGAGGCGGGCAGTACCTTGAGCGAGGTGCAACCAGGTTCGTTGCCTTCACACTGTCTCTCTTCGACCGCACAGCCGACTCATGCGCGCCTCCCTTGACCCGAGAAAGCTTCGACCCCGGCCCTCACCACCCACCGCCTCGTCTCGCAAACGAGCCCTACTTCCCCAACCCGCACTGGTCGCACAACTTTGCCGCCCCTCCCGCACCTACCCCGCAAGCCTACCTCGACTACGGCCGCCCATGGGTCCCGCCAATGCCCGCCTACAACCCGGCCTTCGACCACCACTTCAACCCCTTCTCCGCCCCTTTCGTCCCCTTTGCGCCCTTCCACCCGACCCCGCCCGCCTTTGCGCCAGGCGGCTTTTCGCCGAGTAGCTCGGCTGCGTACGAGCGCACAGGCGGCGACGACGGCGGCGCCCGGCAGCGAGATGACGGCCGTGCCGCCGGGTCCCGGGACGGCCAGGCGCCGTCGAGTCGCGGCGACAACTCGGACCGGCCGTACCGCCTGCACGATCGTCGAGACGAGCCTCGTGTGCCGCTCCCTCGTCGGTCCAACTCGCCGGCCCGCAGGCGCGGCGAGTCGAGGTCACGGTCGCCCGAGCCGTACGTCGCCGCTCCCGCGCCGTACGGGCCCGACGGCGAGTACGTCCCGCCCACTCGTCGCGTCCGCAAAGACGTGCGCTCGGCGCCTGTCGTCCCGCCGGCCGAGACGTACCTCGCCGCGTCCTCCCTCCCCTCGACGACCCTCCCCCTCGACCAACCGCTCGACCCGCTCTACCTCGTCATGGACCTCAACCAGACGCTCCTCGCCCGCGCCAAGCGCGACCGCACCTCGTCGAGGTGGCCCATCGCCCGCCCGTACCTGTCGACCTTCCTGTCGTACATCTGCACCCGCAACGACGACGGCTCGCCCCGGTTCGAGCCCATCGTCTACTCGTCGGCGCGCGCCCCGAACGTCCTCAGCATGCTCGCAGCTCTCCAACTCGTCCCGCCCGAGCGCGCGACGGCCTACGTCGCCGCCTTACCGGCGAGGTCGGGCGCGCGACCGCCGATGTACGAGCCGCGCCCTGACGAGGGCGACGTCCTGCGCATGGTCTTTACGCGCTCGATGATGGGCCTGTCGAACGCCGACTACCACGGCGACGTCGAGACGGTCAAAGACCTCGGGCGCGTGTGGGAGCTCCTCGACTTTGGGCGCGAGGCCTTCGACGCCGAGGTGCAGCAGGTCGCCGACCGCAAGGAGCAGCTCGAGGCGGCGGCGACGTCGACTGAGCACCGAACGGCGTCGAACGCGGGCTCGCGCACGACCGCCGAGGAGCCGATGGCGCCGCTCGAAGACGCGCGCGAGGAGCTCACGGGCGAGGCCGCGCGCGTCCGGCACGACCAAGGCCCGGTCCGGCTCAAGAAGAAGGCCAAGGCGCGCTTCAAGCAGCAGCTCGACGAGCAGGGCGCTCGCAGGACGCTCCTCCTCGACGACGAGGCGAGCAAAGCGGTGCGCTCTCGCGCTCTCTCTCTCTCTCGCCCTCTTTCCCTTCCGGCGTCCTCTCTCTGGCCGAGCCGCCTCGCTCACTCTGCCCAACGTCGTCTCACAGGCTCAGCAACCCTACTCGCACCTGCCCGTTGCACCGTTCCTCGTCCACCCGATCCACTTTCCGCCCACGCCCACCGCCGCGTTCGACTCGACCAACCCCGTCTCGGCCCTGTCGCTCGACCCGGCCCACCCGCCCGCGCAAGACTGCGCCCTCCTCATCACCATCACGCAGCTCGAGCGCGCCAGGGCCGAGAGCAACGTCGCCGGCTGGGTGCGCGCCGGTGGGCTCGACGCCATGCGGGACGAGGCGCGCCGAGCGCTCGTCGAGGTGGACGGGCCCGAGGTGTCGGAGGAGCGCGTCGACCAGCAGCTCGTCGAGCAGGGCAGAGCGGTGTGCGCGAGGCTCGGCATCGAGCTGAGGCAAGAGTGGGACCCGGCGTGGCGCGAAAAGCTCTTGCGCTCGAGGCGCCGGGCAGGGCGCGCAGAGTAGCTCTTGTAGACGGACGAGTGTCGACTCGGGTCTGGCGTGCTGGTCACGCCGGTGCAGTACAAGTTCAGGTTCTCTCGATCTCGCGCACAGTCGAGAGCTGCTCTCGATCGAAAAGCGTTCCGTCGCGTCGACACCTCGTTGCACTCGAACCCTCTTCTACCGCATCGTCTTGGCAAACATCGAGGGCGCCTGCAGTACCGAGTGGGAGAGGAGAGATCGACGAGGGGAGGGAGGTAAGAGAAAGAGAGGGTCAGTCGGGAGAGACGGCGCGAGAGGAAAGAGGGGGCGAGAGCGACGCACCTTTGAGCGGATCTGGGTCGGCTCGACGGACGAGACGCCGCGCGCATACGTCTTGGTCGTGAGGACGAGCTCGTCGTAAAGGATGGCGGGCGCCTTCTTGTTGTGCATGGTCGAGGACGGGTGAATGGCGACCACCTGCGGAAGGCAACGGCGTGAGCTCGCGTGACCGAGCACGCAGGAGAGAGCGAACGAGGGACGCACCTGCTTCGTGAGGGTGTGACGATAGGTGCCGTCCTCCTGGCGGAGCGCCGTGTTGGCAAAGAGGCCGCCGACGAGCGCGTTCAGGACGGGCTCGTCCTCGTCGCCGACGCTCTGCTTGCCGTCGCCGAGCCCGAGACGCTCAACGCGCTCGCGCAGCTGCTTGCGCGCATCGAGAACGCTGAGCATGGCCTTGTACGACACAAAGTTGTCCCGGCACCACGCCTTGCGCTCGTCGCGCTCGTCGAGCTCCTCGAAGGCGCGCAGGATGTTGAGGAGCTGGAGGTGGTCGCCGCGACGGTGGACGAACTTCTGACGCGCCGCGTTGGCCTGCTCGCGCGTTGCGGCCGTGTTGATCAGGAGCTGGTCCTTGGACCCGAGGAGCGACACGAGGTCGATGATCTCGCGAGGGCAGCCCTCGGCGAACGACGCGAGGAGGACCCGGGCGTAGACGGGGTCGAGGGGGAGCTGCGCCATTTGTCGACCGACCGAGGTGATGCGGCCCTGCTTGTCGAGCGCGTCGAGGCCGTGCAGCGTCATGAGGGCGAACAGGACTGCGAGGACGAGGATGTCAGGCTCGAGCGACGCGAACGCCGAACTGCGCGAGCAGGGGACGCACTCGAGTCTTTGTCGGGCTTGTCCATGAAGTGAAAGGCGAAGACGTCGGCTTGGCCCGCCGCAAGGAGGTGCAAGAGGGCGAACGTCAAGCTGACGCGCTGGATCTCGGGCTGCGTGCGCTTGTCGAGCGTGTTGAAGACCGACTCGGGGTACAGGCGGAAGCAGTAGCCGTCCGACTGCGCGAGAGGAGAGAGAGGGTAAGTCCGGGAACGCTGGGCACGAGAGAGAGAGAGTCGGGAAGGGAGAGGCGGCGAGCACGAGACGCACCTCGCGACCTGCTCGACCGGCTCGCTGCTTGGCCGACGACTGGCTGATGCTCTCTGTCACGAGTGACTCGATGCCTGTGGGACACGAGAGCGTCAATGAGAGATCTCCTGCGAGATGAAGCCGTTCGCGAGGTGAAGCCGAAACTCACCCGTGCCCGCGTGGTACCGCTTCTCCTTGGCGAGGCCACAGTCGACGACGAATTTGACGCCCGGGATGGTGACCGACGTCTCGGCGATGTTGGTGGCGAGGATGACCTTGCGCGTATTGGGCGGAGCGGGCGCGAACGCCTTGGCCTGCTCGGCGGGCGCGAGCTTGGCGTACAGGGGCGTGATCAGGAGCTGCAGGGACGGAAAGAGCGTGAGTTGATCGGCGCAACTCGAGGAATGAGGAGAGGAAGGCGGGCGCACCGAGCCCTTGCTCGCGAGCGACTTTTCAAGGTCGGGAAGGTACGCCTGGATCGACGTCGCCAGCGACTCGATCTCGTCCTGGCCTGCGGGCGCAGCCGAGCCGAGTCAGTCTCCTTGTACGGCGACGACAGGTAAGAAGGCGGGCGAGCGCACCGGGAAGAAAGACGAGGATGCTGCCGGGCGGATGCGCCTTGTGAATCTGGAAGATGGTCTTGAGCGCCGAGTCGAGGTAGTCGAGCTGGGGCTCGGCCGAGTACATGAGCGTCACCTTGTGCTGGCGACCCTGCACGTAGAGCACGGGAGCGCTGCGCGTTGTCGAGCAAGTCAGGGACCGTGCTCGTTCTCGAGGGGGGAAGAAGTCGGAGGACGCACTGGGAGAAGAACTCGCTGAACCGCTTGGCGTCGATCGTGGCCGACATGACGACGATCTTGAGCTCGGTCGGGTCGCGCTCCTCGACGTCCTTGCCGTTGGCGAGCGCGGCATCGTGGCCGTTGCCGTTGACGTCGGCGCGCGCTTTGCCCTTGCCCTTGGCGAGCCAGGCGCGGTACTTGTCCTTGCGCCGGACCTGGATGTCCTTGAGGAAGCCCATGAGCATGTCGGTGCGCAGGCTGCGCTCGTGGGCCTCGTCGAGGACGACGACGTCGTACGCGTCGAGGTCGCGGTCGCCGAGCATCTCGGCGAGGAGGGCGCCGTCGGTCGCGTACTTGAGGCGCGTGCCACGCGAGGTGCGGTCGTCGAAGCGGACCGTGTAGCCGACGAGGCCGCCGAGCTGCTGGCCCATCTCGGTCGACACGCGCTGGGCGAGCGAAGTGGCGGCGACGCGACGAGGCTGGGTGCACACGATCCGGGGCGCCTCGCACGGGATGGTCGAGCGCACGAGGAATTGGGGGATCTCTGCAGGTGACGAGGGAGCACCGGGTGAGCTAGTTTCCGACGGCGAGGTGGTCGAGGAGGAGGAGGAACGGGGACGGACGGCGCATCTGGAACGTGTTGGCCCGTAGTAATTAGTAA